CAAGTTGCCCAGGTGGGTCTCCAACCCGCGGGCTCAGGCAATCCACTCACTCAGCCTCCCAAAGTGCGGGATGACAGGCTGAGCCACCGAGCCTGAGCCCGAGCCGGCACCAGTGTTGTTTTTAAGCCACTAAGTCTCATTTGTGACACAGTCATACAAAATAATGCAAATGGGAGGGTGAAAAAAACAGCTGTATAAAGAAAAATGGAAATGGAAGCTAGCTCAGGATTACTCAAAAAGCCTGGCAGAGACAGGGAGAGATCTCGTGCTGACCTCATGCTCTGCTTTCTTCTCCTTCCCAGCATGTGGCATTTGCTGCTGAACGACACGTTTCTGTTTACTGCTGATTGCCTGTGTTCCTCGCTAGAATACAAACTCCATGAAATGGAGCTTTCAGCTGTCTGGGTTCCTCGCTCGTGTCACCAGTCCCTGGGACAGCAACTGACACTCGGCAATGAGTAATAGGAAATTCCGGAGGGAGAAAATAAACATAATAGGAGAAAAGACAATATCCAAAGAGGGAATAACAGCATTTTCCCACAATTGATGGTCATGAATTTTCAGCTTTAAGAATCTCAGTGAGGCCGGGCTCAGTGGCTCAGCCTGTAATCCCAGCACTTTGGAAAGCCAAGGCGAGTGGATTGCCTGAGTCCAAGGGTTTGAGACCAGCATGGCAACTTGGTGAGACCTTGTTGCTACAATAAATAAAAAATTAGCCAAGTGTGGTAGTGCACACCTGTAGTTCCAGCTGCTTGGAAGGCTGAGGCGGAAGGATCGCCGGAGCCCAGCAGGTCGAGGCTGCGGTGGCCGGGAGCGTGCCACTGCCCTCCAGCCTGGGTGACAGAGTGAGGCTCCAACTCAAAAAAAGCAAACAAACAAAAAGAAATATTGTCTTCAAGGTGCCAAGGGAAAATTCCTACCCTATCTGAAATTTTACTATTATTCAAGAGTAGAGGAAAAATAACAATAAGAGAATGTATCCTTCCCAGAAATTCACTGAAAGCATCATTAAAAGGTGTACTTTGGGAAGAAGGACTTTGAATGAAGCAATGATGAACAAATAAGCAAACACAAAAACAGTAAGAAAAGATCTAAAAGAGGATTAAAGATTTAGAAATAAGCATAACAACAAATCTGGGGAAGTAAAAAAACAAGTTGACCCTAAAATACTGGCCAACAGCAACTCAGCAGATGAAAGGGAAGTGAATTATACTAAAGCGTCCACAGTCCTCATGTCACTCAGAGGTACACACAGTAAAAATTTAAGGGAACAAAATAAGTTGGGAGGAAAAAGGGGCTACAGGCCAGGCTTGGTGGTTCAGCCTGTAATCCCAGCACTTTGGGAGGCCGAGGCGAGTGGATTGACTGCCTGAGCCCTCGGGTTCAAGACCCACTCAGGCAACTTGGCAAGGCCTCATCTCTACAATAAATCTAAAATGAGCTGGGCGTGATAGCGCATGCCTGCAGTTCCAGCTACTTGGAAGGCTGAGGTGGAAGGATCACCAGAGCCCAGCAGGTCAAGGCTGTGGTGGTCGGGAGCATGCCCCTGCACTCCAGTCTGGGTAACAGTGAGACTCCAACTCAAAAAAAAAAAAAAAAGAAAAGAAAAGAAAAGCAGGCTCCTATAAAGAAAATTTGGTCAATCCAAGAGATGGCAGAAAGGAGGAAAAAAAAAGAAAAAAGAAATGTAAAGCACAAGACAGCAAAAATTCATCCAAATAACAAGTTATTACAATAAATATAAAGAGATTAAACTTGCCAGCTAAAAGATAGAGACCCTATGATTAGATTTAAAATAATAAATCCTCTATACACTATTTACAAAGATATATCTAAAATATAACTACACAGGGAGATTAAAAGTAAAGATACAGGGGGCAATATTTGCAAATCACATATCTTATAAACAGCATGTATCTATAAAAAGCTCTTACAAGCCAGGCACAATGGTGCGTGCCTGTAGTCCTAGCTACCTGGGAGGCTAAGGTGAGAGAATCACCTAAGCCCAAGACTTCAAAGCCAGTCTGGGCAACATAGCAAAACCTCATCTCCAAAACAATGTAAAAAAGTAAAAAGAACTCTTACAACTCAGTAATAGACAGTAACCAAATTTAAAAATGAACAAAGGGCAAGCATGGTAACCTATGCCTATAATCCCAGCATTTTAGGAGGCTGAGGCAGGAGGATTGCCTGAGTCCAAGAGTTTGAGTCCAGCCTCGGCAACGTGGTAAGACCTCATCTCTACAATAAATTTTAAAAAATTACTCAGGTGCGGTGGCTATAGTCCCAGCTGCTTGGATGATTGAGGTGTAAGGATTGCCTGAGTCCAGTTAGTCAAGGATGCGATAGCACTGCACTTCAGCCTGGGTGTGCCACTGCACTTCAGCCTGGGTGACAGAGTGAGACTCTGACTCAAAAAACAATTTTTTTAAAAAAGTGAATAAAGGCTCTGAAAAGACATTTCTCCAAAAAATATACACAAATGAGTTAAAGCATATGAAAAGATACTTAACATCTTTATGCACAAAGGAAATATAAATCAAAATCACAATGAGGTACCATTTCTCACCCATCAGAAAGACAGATAATAACAAGTGCTGCAAAGATATGGAGAAACTAGAACCCTCATTCATGGTGGGACTGTAAACTGGTGTAGGGCATATGGAAAACAATTTGGCAGTTCCTTCAAATGTCAGAGTTACCATACGATCCAGCAATTCTGCTCCTAGGTACATACCCAAGAAAACGAAAAACCTATATCCATACAGAAATGTGTACACAAATGTTCACAAAAGAATCCATATACAACCACCAAAAAGTAGAAACAACCTCAAATTCACCAGTTATGAGTGAATTAAAAAAATTGTAGATCCATACAACACAACATTATTTGGCCATAAAAAGGAATGAAGTATGAATACATTCTGTGGCATGGAGGAACTCTAAAAACATTGAGGTCAGTACAGTGGTTCACACCTGTAATCTGAGCACTTTGGGAAGCTGAGGCAGGAGGATTGCCTGAGCCCAGGAGTTCGAGACCAGCCTGGACAATGTGGTGAGACCTCGTCTCTACAAAAAGTGAAAAATGAAATAAAAATTAGCAGAGCACAGTGGCCCGTGTGCACCTGTAGACTTAGTTACTCAGGAAGCTGAGGTGGAAGGAGAGCTCATTGAGCCCAGGAGTTGGAGGATGCAGTGAGCCATGACGGTGCCACTACATTCTAGCCTGGGGAACAGAGTGAGAACCTCACTACAAAATGATAGATAGATAGAAATAAAAACATTATGCTAGGTGAAAGAAGCAAGATAATTCCATTGATGTGAGACATCCAGAACAGGCAAATCCATGCAGACAGGTCTACATGAGTGACTGCTTGCTAGGGGTTGCAGGGATCAGAAAACGGGAAGTGATTGCTAATGGCTGTAGAGTTTCTTTTTGGAGCATGACAATGTTCTGGAATTAGCTCTTTTTTTTTGAGTCGGAGTCTCACTCTGCCACCCAGGCTGGAGTGCAGTGGCATGCTCACAGTCAGTACAGCCTTGATCTGTGGGGCTCAGGTGATCCTTCCACCTCAGCCTTCCAAGGAGCTGGAACCACAGGCATATGCCACCACGCCCAGCTAATTTGTCATCTATTTATTGTAGAGAAGAGGTCTCGCCATGTAGCTCAGGCTAGTCTCAAACCCCTGAGCTTAGGCAATCCTCTAGCCTCTGCTTCTCAAAGTGCAGGGATTACAGGCTTGAGCCACTGCTCCTGGCAGCACTTTCTCTTCAACAAAGCAGCCAGGCTGGTCGGTGGCGGCGACCGTCGCGCAGACGCAAGAATGCAGATCTTCGTGAAGACCCTCACAGGCAAGACTATCATCCTTGAGGTGGAGCCCAGTGACACTATCAAGAATGTCAAAGTTAAAATCCAAGACAGGGAGGGCATCTCACCCAACGAGCAGCATCTGATATTTGCAGGCAAACAGCTGGAATATGGTTACACTCTCTCAGGTTCCAACATCCAGAGAAAGTCCACCCTGCACCTGGTGCTGCGCCTGCAAGGCAGCATACTCAAGCCTTCCCTCCGCCCCCATGCCATCAACTGCCGTGAAAAGAAGAGGGGGCATGTTGACAACCTGCGCCCCAGGAAGCAAGTCAAATAAGGCCCTCACTGGCTCCTCCCACAAGGCAGCCTCCTGCCCTGGCCCTTGGTCCTAGGACCTCAATAAAGTTTCCCTTCCGTTGACTGGAGCAGTTAAAAAAAAAAACAACGAAAAGAAAATGTTCTGGAATTTGACAAAGGTGATGACTGCACAACTTTCCAAATATACTAAAAACCGGTAAATGGTATATGCTAAGTGGATGAACTGTATGACGTGTGATATATCACAATGAAGCTAGTATATTTTTTTTAAAAAACAGGGACAGAAAAAGATAAACCAAAAACACACTAAACAAAGTAAGATCAAGCAAATCAGCCAAAATAAACTTCCAGGCAAAAGTTTAAAGAAGGGGAAGAGGATAATTACAGAATTAAATGCATACTTCACCAGAAAAATATTAATAATCGAAATAAATATGCGCTGACAAGCCAGTCTCAAATGATACGACGCAAACCCTGGCATGACAAGGAGAAAGAGATGAATCCTCAACCATAATCAGAGATTCTAATACAGGTCTCTCAGAAACTGATCAAAAAGCAAACCGAATACTAGTAAGAATAGAACAAACTTAACATAATTAACAAGCATCATCTAATGATCTAATTCATATGTTTAGTACCTCACACCCAGCAATGAGAGAACAGACATCCTTCCAGCACACAGCATTTAAAAAACCTGACCACCTCCAGCCAAAGAGCAGGTTTCAACAGCATCACACAGACTCGCGTTTTCAGACCACAAGGTATAGGTTGGAAATTACTAATAAAAAAAATAGCCCAGCCAAGTACAATGGTTCATGCCTGTAACCCCAGCACTTTGGGAGGCAGAGGCAAGAGGATTGTCTGAGCCCGGGGATTTGAGACTAGCCTGGGCAACTTGTCGAGACCTCGTCTCTACAATAAATCGAAAACTTAGCCGGGGGTTGCGGCATGTACCTGTGGTTTCAACTACTTGAAAGGCTGAGACAGAAGGATCACCTGAGCCCAGCAGATCAAGGCTGCGGTGGCTATGAGTGTGCCACTGCACTCCAGCCTGGGCGACAGAATGAGACTGAAAAAAAAAAAAGTAGCCCAGGCTGGTCACAGTGGCTCACATCTGTAACCCCAGCACTTTGGGAGACCAAAGAAAGAGAGGATTGCTTGAGCCCAGGAGGAGTTCAAAACTAGCCTGGGCAGCATAGCGAGACATCATCTCTACAAAAAATAAAATAATTAGCTGGGTGTAGTGGCACACACCTATAGACTCAACTACTCGGGAGGCTAAGACCAGAGGATTGCCTGAGCCCAGGAGGTTGAGGCTGCAGTGGACCGTAAGTGTGCCACTGCACTCCAGCCTGAGTGACAGAGGGAGACCCCAACTCAGATAAAAAGGTAGCCCAACAACCCCCAATCCTATATGGTACTGTGTGTTGTGGCCCCTGCCTTCCCCCCATGCTGGGGCCTGCAGAGTTGGGACGGGGTCTACCACTCAGCCAGGGAAAACAGAGTGAAGTGAGCCCACCTGCCCATCTCTGACCCAGCCCTCTGAGCCCAGGCGCAGCACAGGGTCCAGGGAAGCCCCTACCTTTCAGCAGCTGCTCCGGGGAGGGCTGGGCCCTCTCAGTCTCCTCTGCCCGCTCCTCTCGGGCTCGATCCTTGCCAATCGAGCTCTCGTGCTTGTCCTCATCCTCCACTCTGTCCAGGGCAGGGGGCAGGGCCTAAGGAAGATCCACCAGGGGAGCTGCAGGGCTTGGGGCCCCACGAGGAATGGAGGGCAGGAAACGCGCACTGGGTCAGGGCCCCACTAGCCCAGCTCCCACCACGTGCTCCCAGCCTGCTCCCCCAGACTCCCAGACGGGAACTCGGAGGCTAGAAGGCTTGGGTTCCACCTGGCCGTGCAGGACCAGAGAAGGACCCCAGACCCAGCCTCCAGCCCACACCCACCACGGACCTCCACACCCACAACCTCCATACCTGGATTTCCAGGGCCTTCTTTGGCCTCTGCAGCCCCGGGTCCTTCTCATCCAAGTAACCTAGCTGGGTTTCCATTTTGTCTAAAGACCAAGGGAAAGAGATGAGACAAGTGAGCTCAGGCGGGGAAGGGGACAGGGCAGGAAGTGGGGTGGCGGGAGGGGACTGACCTTCAGGAGGGCCGCCCTCAGGGGTAGGCACCTTCCAGGAGGGATGGGCAGGATCCCAGGGTAAACCAGAGAGCCCAGGCCAGGCCTACGACTCAAGTGATCTTGTGGGAACTTAGAGCCAGTGAGACCAAAGCAAGGGGCTGTCCAGGGTTGGGGTGTATGCAGTGGAGGCTGCCCACCGGAATAAGGAGGGGGGGTGATAGAGGCCCGAACGGCAGCCACAACACCTGGTTTTGGCCCCAGCTTTCAGGCAAATGCCTGGCCATGTGCCTCAGGACAGGTTGTGGGTCACCTCCCTGCTGAGTCAGGAGTTCCTAACACACTGCACAGACCTGGGGACTTCCTGGGCTCTGAGAAGCCCCGAGAGGTAGGTGCTATCACAGCCCACCTCCCAGATGGGAAAATGGAGGCCACAAAACTCACCCAAGGACATACATGGGGTGCAGGACAGAGCCAGGAAGCAAACCCAGATGTGTCCATCTCCAAAGGATACTCTGTTTTTGAGTTGGGCGTCTCACTCTGGTGCCCAGACGAGTGCAGTGGCACAATCATGGCTCACCACAGCCTCAACCTTCCGGGCTCCGGTGATCCTCCCACCTTAGCCTCCCAAGGAGCTGGGACCACAGGCACATGCCACCATGCCCAGTTAATTTTTTTGTAGAGACGAGGTTTCGCCATGTTGCCCAGGCTGATCTCAAGCTCCTGGGTTCAAGCAGTCCTCCCGCTTCAGCCTCCCAAAGTACTGGGATTACAGGTGTGAGCCACTGCACCGGACTAAAGGGCACTCTTATGCTTGGAGGTGCTGAGGCTGTCAGGGCCCTACCTGGGGGATAGATATGTCTGCCCCAGGCCTGTGAGGCCCAACAGAGTGAAGGAGGACACTCTGCCCAATCAAATACCTGGATCACCAAAAAGACACTTGGAAAGAAAAAACCCAATTACAAATGGGCTAAGGGTGGTAAAAAGGGTGGGAGTGTAAATTAGTCCACCCTCTATGGAAATTGGTATGGAGAGTTCTCAAAGAACTAAAAGCAGATCTACCATTTGATCCAGCAATCCTACTACTAGGTATCTACCCCTAAGGAACAGAGGTCGTTAGATTAAAAAGACACCTAGCTGGGCATGGTGGCTCACCCCTTTAATCCCAGTACTGTGGGAGGTGGAGATGAGAGAATTGCCTGAGGCCAGGGGTTCGAGACCAGCCTGAGCAAACTGATGAGACCTCATCTCTACAATAAATCAAAAAATTAGCTAGGCATGGTGGCGTGCATGTGGTTCCAGCTACTTGGAAGGCTGAGGCAGAAGGATTGCCTGAGCCTAGCAGGTTGAGGCTGCAGTGGCCGCGAGCATGCCACTGTACTCCAACTCAAAAAAAGAAAGCCAATGTCCACACAAAAATGCAAAAAGAATGTTCACAGCAGCATTATTCACGATAGCTGAAAAGTAGAAGCAACCCAAAATCCAAAGTCCATCAACAGATTGACAGATAAGCAAAACACAGTAAATATGTACAATGAAATGCTACTCAGCCCCGAGAGAATGAAGACCTCACACATGCTACAACACAGACGAGCTCTGAAACATCTTGCTATGTGTAAGAAGCCAGACACAGAAGACCACAGGTTGCATGACTTCCCTCCTATGAAATTTCCAGAACAGGGAAACCCTTAGAGACAGAAAGCAGATTCATGGTTGCCCAGGCCTGGGAGAGGGAGGGGTACTGCCAGTGGGGGTGGGTTTTTTTTTGCAGGGGATAAAAATATTCTGGCATTAGACAGTGGTGCTGGTTGCACAACCCTGTGAACATACTAGAAAGGACTGGATGGTACACTTTTTAAAAGAGTGAAATTTTGTAGGACGCATGTGAATTATATCTCAAAAACGTTATTAAAAAGAAAAACTGCGCCGGGCATGGTGGCTCCAGCCTATAATCCCGGCACTTTGGGAAGCAGAGGTGAGAAGACTGCCTGAGCCTAGGTGTTCGAGACCAGCCTGGGCAACTTGGTGAGACCTCATCTCTACAACAAATCAATAAATTAGCCAGGTGTGGTGGCATGAGCCTGTAGTTCCAGTTACTTGGAAGTCTGAGGTGGAAGGATCGCCATTGCATTCCAGCCTGGTGTCTGCGTTCCAGCCTGGGCAACAGCGAGACTCTGACTCAAAAAACGCACAAAAAAAAGAAAAACTCTCTGGAGAGCAGCACTTCAGCAGACAGAAGCTTCGAGGGAAGGGAGGCATCTTTTACGGGGTGTGCAGAGGTCTCGGGGCTAGTGTTCTTGCCAACTCCCGTGACACAGGTACCCAGCCCGGCTGGATCCCAGACCTGGCAGGCCCAGTGGGACTGGCGGCAGGTGGGCGGGGCTGGCGGGCACTGGTGTGTTGGGGTCCGAGGAGATGGCCTCGCCTGGCTTCTTGCCCTCGGGCCCCTCGGGGATCAAGTCCGGGGTGCTGTACTTCCCGTTGACGTGCTCAAACTCCTGAACCTGAGGCAGCGGGAGGGAAGGAGACAGGGCATACAGCTCAGCTCTAAGGGCCTCAGGACAGCCAACGGGATTGGGGGCGTCACAGGCTTGGGTGACCGATGCCCCCACCCAAGGCTGACTGAAAGTTCCCCTGCCAGTCCCTGCCCCGGTCTCCTGTGTGTTCTCTGCCCCTGACCCACCACCTCGGTCTTCACCCCCCAGGCCCCTCACCCAGAAAGGCTTTCTGAGTCCGTCCCTCCAGCCGGGCTCACCCCTGGGCCGCCGTGTGGCCAGAGCCAGGCACTTGCCCTCAGACTGCCGACCCCACACGGGCAGTGCCACGCCCTGGGCAGCCGCCAGGAAGGGCCCTGCAGAGGGTTACTCACCCACCTTCTTCCTAACTAGCGACATGACCCCGATGCGGGTGAGCACGTGCTGCCTGGACAAGCCTTCCCGGGGAACACCATCCGCGAAGGTCTCTGCGCCGTCCGCCCCCGGCTCACACAGGTGTCGCATGAAGAGGGACACATAGGCTCTGGGGTGGGCGGGACTGGGGCTCAGGGAGTGGGGGGCTGGCAGGACCCCCAGAGGGACATCCTGGCTGAAATCGCCGACCACTGCCCACCTCCCAAGCAGGCCTGCCAGGCCCCAGGACAGGACAGGGGGCCTCTCTGGTGGGGACCTCCCAGGACAGCCCTCGCCCTGGGTGATTCCGGTTTCCTCGCAGACATCATCGCCAGCTGGTTTGGGCAGAGGGGCTGGTCAGTGTTTTCTGCCAACTGGCCCTGCTGGCCAGCGGGACCCCGGCCGCGCAAAGACCCAGCAGCAATGACCTCTCCGGATTCCCTTAGGCCGCGGAAAGCAGGGCAGGGGGCCACACCTTGGGCCGCCACCTCCACCCCTTTACCTAAACTCCTTTTCACTCTTCCCACGAAGGTCCCGCACCAGCCAGTGGGAGTTGAAGGCGTCCTGGGGGGGCATGCCCCAGCGCATGATGGCGTTCAGGAAGGCCTTCCGCTGTCGGGCGTTGAAGCCCAGCACCTGGGCAGGGTGTGTGCCCGAGGCAGAGGGGGAGGGGGGCAGAGAATTCAGGGGTGGGGAAAAG